GTATATGTGGCTGGCGTCTTAGCCGCTTGAGCCACAGGCGCTGAGCCAGTTGACCTAATTTTCATAGACCAAACATGCACCACATTACGTATCAGTACAGGAGGTTGACCAGTTTGTTACAGTCCCTGGGGTGGTCAACTTAAAGGGGGGTCTACTGCATTTATTGGGAGGTTCTCCATGTGCAAAGTGATGTTCTAGGAAAGGGAGATACGACAAAGGAATGACATGAAGTCATTTCTCTCACAGAGCTACTCTCCATCAAAGAGGAAGATGATAAACACATGACATGCCAGGTAGTGATGAATTCTGAAGAAAACTATTTAGGAAAAGCACATAGAAAGGGCTGTCAGGGAAGGTCTTTCTGATGGGATAACATCTAAGCAGACACTAAAGGTCTCTAGGAAGAAAACAGTGAGAAGACTGAGTACAGGTGAGCTCGAGGGTCTGAGTGCAGAGGCCAGTGTGGCTGGGCAAGACCAGATGGGACAGCTGTGGGCACACCTCTCACTTGGCAGCCACCCGAAATGAAGCTAGTGTGATCTACAAATGGAATGTTTAATTTTACTTTAAATTAATGAAAATTTAGATAGCTACATGTGGTTAGTGGCTACTGTATCGGTGTAGATGCAGCATCTCACAGGCCATTGTCAGGGTATAATTTTCTGAGTCAGAGGGGAAGCACTGGAGGGCTTCAAAGAGAAGTGACATCATTTCATTTCGTTTAGACTAAAGGATCACTGTGCTGCTCTTTGAAAACAGACTGTTAAATGTTTTGGGAGGTGGATAGGGTAAGAGTAGAGTCTGGGGCCTCAGAGATGACAGCGGTTTGGACTGAGATAGCACTGGAGAAGGAAGGAAATTGAATTCAGAATGTATTTTGGTATGTACATATAGCTTAAAATATTCATAATTTATATGCAGATATCACTGAATGAAATGTAATACACATAACATAAACCTACAAGACTATAGTACAACATTCACGTACTTAAATTTTTTCCCCAGTGCTATCTGAATTGAGAATATGTAAGATCCAACCAAGCTCAAAGTCCCAATTCCCTTCTATAAAATCATGAGATGATGGTTAACACATATGATACCAGATTCTTTCTTTTCTTTTATTTTGAGATAGCATCTCACTCTGTCACCCTGGATAGAGTGGCATGGCATCATGGCTCACAGCAATCTCAAACTTCTGGGCTCAAGGGATCCTCTTGCGTGAGCTTCCTGAGTAGCTGGTACTATAGGCTCCCACCAAAATGCTGGGTTAGTTTTTCTATTTTTTTTTTTTTTTTGGTGAGACAGAGTCTCATTTGTTGCCCTCGATAGAATGCCATGGCATCATAGCTCACAACAACCTTAAACTCTTAGGCTTAAGTGATTCTCTTGCCTCAGCCTCCCAAGTAGCTGGGACTACAAGCACCTGCCACAATGCCCGGCTACTTTTTGGCTGCAGTTACCATCGTTGTTTAGCAGGCCCAGGCTAGGCTCAAACCCACCAGCCTCGGTGTATGTGGCAGGTATCCTACTCACTGAGCTATGGGCGCTGAACCAGTTTTTCTATTTTTAATACAGACAGGGTCTTGCTCTGGTTCAGGCTGGTCTGGAACTCCTGAGCCCAGGCAATCTACCTGCCTTGGCCTCCCAGAGTGCTGAGATTACAGGTGTTCCCAGACTGATATGAGATGATTTCTGTACAGAATCAAATCTTCTTTAACTATTCATATAATAAAAACAGTAGAAATAATTTTTAAATCTTAATTTTTTTTTTTTGAGACAGAGTCTCACTATGTCACCCTTGGTCGAGTGCACAGTATCACAGCTCATAGCAACCTCAAACTCTTGGGCTCAAGCGCCTCATCCTCCCAAGTATCTAGGACTACAGGTGTCTACCACCTCCCCCCCAACTATTTTGTTGTTGCAGTTGTCATTGTTGTTTAGCTGGCCTGGGCCAGATTCCAACCTGCCAGCCTGGGGGCATGTGGCTGCACCCTATCCACTGAGCTATGGGTGCCGCCTAAATCTTAATTCTTAGTGATACTAACTTGGTACTTTTTCAATACATTTTATTTTAATAAACTTAGAAAGACAAACATAACATACTAACCTTAATAAAAATAGATCTTAATTGAAGAGCCACTAGCTTTCTTGAAGGCGATGAATATACTACGAAGACAAGAAGAAAATGAAATCATCTGATGGTTAAAAATGAAGGAGCTAATACAAGTTAGAATTAACATGATGAAAATTAAACACTGAATTATAATATCTTTTGTATTTAAATATTTTCAATAATTAAAATGTAGAACATATCTATCATTTCGTTAAAATAAAACACTTTACAAGTACCTTAAAATGCACCAGTGAGCTTTATTCTATGCAATAGATTCATTTCTGAAAAGTTAACTATAAGAAAATATCAAAAATTATTTCTCTTCTAATTTTCCCTATAAAACCAGAGAAGTAATCTCTTGGAAATTTCTGGTACTATGACAAAATCATCCTCAAGAAAGCTAAATTTTTTGGTTTCTGATATTCTCCCCCTTCCTCTCTAGAGAACAGAAATACTCATTGAGATTAATGAGAGATAGCAAAATATTACTCATCAACCCAGGAATGGATTAATGAACTGTGGTTGAAATATTCTTCAGCCATAAAAAAGATGGAGACTTTACTCTTTTGTATTAACCTGGACAGAGTTGGAAATTTTTTTTTTTTTTTGAGACACAGCCTCAAGCTGTCACCCTGGGTAGAGTCCAGTAGCATCACAGCTCACAGCAACCTCCAAATCTTGGGCTCAAGCATTCTCCTGCCTTAGCCTCCCAAGTAGCTTGGATTATAGGCACCCGCCACAACACCGGCTATTTTTTGGTTGCAGCTGTCATTGTTGTTTGGCAGGCCCAGGCTGGATTCGAACCCACCAGCTCAGGTGTATGTGGCTAGTGCCTTAGCCGCTCGAGCCACAGGCACTGACCGGGAGAACTTTTTTTTTTTTGTCGAAATAGAGTCTCAGTTTATTGCCCTTGGTAGAGTGCTATGGCATCACAGCTCACAGCAACTCCAACTCCTGGGCTTAGGCGATTCTCTTGCCTCAGCCTCCCGAGTAGCTGGGACTACAGGTGCCTGTCACAACACCTGGCTATTTTTTTGTTGCAGTTTGGCCGGGGCCGGATTTGAACTTGCCACCCTTGGTATATGGGGCCAGCACCCTACCCACTGAGCCACAGGTGCCGCCCATTTGGCTAAGGAGAACATTTTTTTTTTAATAAAAAAGTATCACAGGAATGGAAAAACAAGTACTAATATGAAGCCAGTAGATGAACTAATATAGCCCACACAAGACAAAAACTCAATTTAAGTTGAGGGGATAGAAAGAAGGAAGTGGGAAGGAGGAAGGAGACTGGTGAGCTCCCACTAATGGGTACAGTGTAGGGTAGATGGCACACCTCCTGGGGAAGGGCAACTACAACAGGGACCTTACCTAACAAATGCAAACATTGTAAACTAATAGTTTGTATCCTCATATTAATCTGAAATAAAAAAAAATAGCAAAATATAAGAGAATGTTAGTCATGTAATAAAATCCCTGATATAGGTACATGTGTTCATTAAAGACCTGAAACAACCTATACACATCCTGTGAGTATGTCTGCATTTTTTCTGGGAATTGCACAGGATCCTACTCTAGAGATATTTAAAGTTTTCCAACCCAACTTTACCTCTAAGAATGAGAAGCTCTTGTATGAATCAAGGGGAAAATAGAGTCTTTAAGGATACAGGATGAGACCACTATGCAAAGGAGTAAGCTTTTGTTTACCACAAACAGATTGCAAACAGCTCTGGATTGGGCAAACCCTTTGGTGGACCAGTCACTACTGTTAAGGTCTTTTAGAGATTGCCTCTTATGGATGTTGTGATCTGGGGGCTGAGCTGAACTCAGCAGGTCTAAGTATGTTAGAGCCAAAGGAGGTTTAGGAATTAAGGAAAAGGGTAAAATTTAGGGAAAAGGGACTAAGACATAGGATACTCAGGCCTCTAACCTATCTTTGACAAATACATATAATCTAATTCAACAGATCTGGTGTGAAAAGAATTTACCTGTATGGGATAGGCAACCTCAACTTTAAGATATAAGATATACTGGCTCAGCGCCTGTAGCTCAATGGTTAGGGC